TCCTCCTCCTCCTCCTCCTCCTCCTCCTCCTCCTCCTCCTCCTCCTCCTCCTCCTCCCTCCTCCCTCCTCCTCCCTCCTCCCTCCTCCTCCTCCTCCCACGCTCTCAGCCTCCCCACACTCATGGCACTTCACGGTTCTATTTCGGGATTTGCGGTGCCTGGCCCGACTACTAAAAACGATTAGCTCAGGGTCGTTCGAAAATATGGTTTAGCTGAAAGATTTATCATGCTTTGTTTTACTTGATGAGCTAAATGACTTATTACCGCTCTCTTTCATGGTGGTGGGAGGAGGAGGAGGAGGAGTGAATAGTGGTGGAATCGTTCAGGTGACAGTGCTCTTCCTTACTGTTCTGTTTGCTGCTTGCATGCTCTGGTTCCGAGGAAGGAAGAAAGCTGCAGGCAGAGAGCAGGAAGATGCAAGGCAGTCAGAGAACGATGCGAGAAGGAGGGTGATTCTGCAGGTTTCTACACAACATCCCATACTTTGATTAATGACGCAAGTTCAGGAGCGATGGCGAGAAACTGAACATCCTAAGGGACAGAAGCCTTCTGCTGGCGCCGTGGCAAGGGGAGAGAGTGAACAGGGGTCTGGGGAAACAAGAAAGCAGGAAGTCAACTCCTACGAGCCGAGCGGGCAGGTCGAAGACAAGTTGGACCAGCTCATAAGTCGTGCTCAGAAGACTGGGATCATGAACTTTGTTTCTCCACCCAACAGTGAGCTGTTCTACTCCGTCTGCCCGAAGCTCAGAACCATGTCGTTACACGACAAATGCCTAGTGAATCTCCATTTCTTGACAGGGAACTTGAAGTTCAGCTCTATGACGATTCTCGATTTGAGTCAGAACGTGATTGGGGATGTAGATGTCTTGTTCTTGAGCTCATTCCCCGTCCTCAAAAAGATCAACATGAGCAAGAACAAGATACATCACCTCCCAGACTTGGGATGGGAGAACTTTGCAAACGTGCAAGAGATAGACGTGTCTGACAACATCCTAGAGGAGCTTCCAGAGGGCATGCGAGAGCTGTCTCGGCTCAGGGTGTTGATAGCAAGCAACAATCGGATCCGACGTATCCCAGATCCCGTCGCTCGACTTGCATCCATCACCGACATGGACTTCGAGGCGAACAGGTACTCATGTGATCTGCATGGATGCACTTCTAGTGATGTTGTCGATAGCCTGGAGGAGATTCCGCTAGCGTTTGCTGCAAATCAGACGCTGAAGAGGTTGAACGTGCAGTCAAACAGGATCACAACGATCGCGAAAGAGATGTCCGCCCTCCTGCGTGTGATCGGCACGTCGTTGACTGTTTCCTGGCAGATTGGAGGCAACAAACATCGAGCGTCTGAGCACGAGGGGAAATCCGATGGAGATGAGGCTGCAGGACGGGGTTGAGTCATACTTGCAGCGAAAGAACTTGAAAATCATTGAGAACGGCGAAATCATCTCCTTCAATGCGCTGGAGATTGCGAAGGAGAGGGAGACTGGCAGGGCTCTGCTCAAGCAGAAGCAGACTTGATGTATGAATTTGAGGAGGTGTGAATAATATGTAAACTAGCCAGGAGGAATGTCGGAATGGTAGAGTTTGCGTGCGCGAAACGAAGTGCTCACGTGCACGGACCATCATCCTCAAAGATGTCAGGCAAACACTGTTATTGTTGTCATGTAGAAAAGAAACACCGCTATCCTTTAGACATTGTCTCCAGGCAGAGATCCACCGTTGGGGATCCCATAGCTGTCAGTGTCAGACTTGGAAGGAAAGAGCGACCCGTCGAGCTCATGGAGCATGCCGACATGAGCGAGGTTCGGCCTGCCTCCCCTGGCATCGTGGATGTGCTGAGCAGCCTCGAAGATGCGGAACAGACCCGCGTCAGCCTGATCCTGTGACTTCTCGAATGCCTTGAGGCTCTGGTCGTGAAGGTGGAGCATCTTCTGGCAGTCGTCGTCAGAGTCCCTCTTGCAGTCTAGGAGGGCATCCTTCAAGTCCTTGGCGTCCTGCGAAAGCTTGTGCTTCTTGTACACCGGGAGGGACGCGAGCCTCGACACGGGAGGGGCAGCACCACGGAGGACATTGCCCTTCCTGTTGACCGGCACTGGGCCCTTCATGCTGACCAGGATGTTCTCAGCGAGATGTCCGTAGCTGCCACTCCTGCGTGCCTGCTCCATGATCGGCACAGCACTAGCCACCGGCAACTTGTGGGTGACGGGATGAGGATGGGGGTGAGCTGCTGCGTGCTTCACGTTGTGCGCTACAGCATGAGCACGAGCCTGGACGGGATGAGCAGCAGGGCGAGGAGCGGCAGTCTTGGCAGCAAGGCCCATCAGTTGGTTGGGATTCACAATGATGGCACCAGGCGGCACGTGCCCAGGAGCGGCGGCATAGAGTCGCTCGGGAACGTACCTAACGCCATTGACTGAGAACGGAGCAGGAGCCAGCAGCGAGGAAGGAGCTGCCGAGGAGAGGTGAAGGACAACAGCTACTGCAGCCACGAAGGCGAGACCGATCACGGCAGCAACGGGAGCCAGTTTCTGTCAAATCAATCAAGTCAAAACAATCAATTCCGACGACGACGATGAATGTTGAGGGATGATAGAGCGGGGAGAACCAGTGAGTATTTAGAGCATGACATCAAGAACAATGGAAGAGGTTGGGGCGGGACGGCCGTGAGGAATGATTAGAGTAAACATTCGGAGGTAGGACGATGAGGAGAGGTAAGCGAGTGGGAAACCACGATGGAGACACGATAACAGATAGGCAGGAACAAGTTATGGAAAACAGGGCAAAGATAACAGAAGGAGACGAGGAGAGAGGAGATAAGAGCAGAAGGAGAGCATTATAGAGGAGTAGGAGGGGAAATGAGGAAAGAGAGACAGCAAGCGAGGATCAAGCAGGACAGCAGGACAGCAGGACAGCAGGACAGCAGGACAGCAGGACAGCAGGACAGCAGGACAGCAGGACAGCAGGACAGCAGGACAGCAGGACAGCAGGAGAGCATGGGTCCCAGCAAGGAATATCTACCTTGAACTCCCTAGGCGCCATAGCGAAGTGTCGCGAAGGGTATACCAGGGGTACTTAAAGAAGAGGAAAGAACCGGTATAAAAGTTGGGGGTCCGAAGGATCACCGGTGGGTATGAATTATCGATAACAGTACGGGTGATAGAGGTTTAGTCCTCGAATCCTAGGGGTACTTCAGCAATGACCATATACATTTCAGTCCAGAGAGGGGTACTTTTATTTTGAATTAGCTTTTAGAGGGTGGGGTGATATAATACATGGGGTCCTGGCAATGGAGGGGTCCCAGGGTGGAATCAGGGGTGGAATATAGCTGTATGAGTGGGGAGGTGGTTATTGTGCGAACGGACAGACCATGCTGACCAACTTGGTGAGTGATCGGAGGGGAGGGCAGGGGCAGGACAGGGAGGACAACGAGGAGGAGACGAGATAGAAAATCTCAATGACAAGGACAAGTACAAGGACAACAAGGATGTGGTGTAGTCAAGGACTATGACGAGGGCATGGACATAGATAGGGTTTTGGAGCAAGGAGTATAGAAATGAGACGCTCACAGTGGATTTACCAAATGATCAGGAGACAGGGAAAGAATAGAAAGAGACTTGGGCAGGTGCTGATGTGCATATAAAATTTGTGGCTGCCTCTCTTGTTGAACCCTATCATAACATCACATGTATTATGGTGATCTTGGTACGGGCAATGAGGGGTTGTTGTTGTGGCTTACTCCTATTTTTGTCATGAACGATCGCCATCTTTTGAAGAAAAATATCTGAAATGTGATTTCAACTCGTAGTTCTTTGGTGTCATTTGAGTGAACCCTGCTAGCTCTGATCGAAATGTCGCGGGTTGCTAGACAACCGATGCTTGTTGTTATCTTAATCTTGCTGTTTGTATCCACAATGTTGCCTCTTGTCTATTTTTCTGGGCATAAACTTGATGCACATTCTTGCTTGTCACACTATTGTGTTTCTCTCCTGCTGCTAAGCATTATTGCCGCTGACACGACTTCACAGATTGCCCAGTCTCTCGACATGCTCGGAGAGCGAACTGCTGACCGCGCTGTGTGTTACATGATCTCGCGGTTTCCAGCGTTTATCTCACCTTATCTACAGTTTGCGGATGATGCCTTCCAGAAGAAAACCGAAGCTCTCCTCGCCAAGGCTGCCAACAAGGTATTCTTGGATGGTTCTCTGTGAACGTATGCATGCCTGACGTCATGAAGGTCCTGTCTTGCGAAGATCGCCAGCGAGCATGCTTCAACTAAGTTTGCCGCTGTACAAGTTTGCAATAGGAAAATTGAATGAATGTGCGCTCTGAATTCATTTTTCATCTACACTAAGCATGTTTTATCTTTGTGTTTCACTCCCCTGCCACAACTGAGAGCAGTCTCCCAAGAGAACTTGTCACAGACTTTCAGAGTTAGAGAGAAGATATGCGTATCAGAGAAGATATGCGTGTGCTTTGTTTGTGAGCCAGCACCCCGGAGTCAGCTTCGCTGGCGTTGGATTTCCTTCCTACATCCGTTTCTCCCTTCAATACCATCGCTACAAAAATGATTTTCGCAGTTTATGGTCGTGCACTATGCAGAACAGCAGATAAACTTGTCCACTCCATGACACGTGGTATCTCGTCAGCCGAACTCGCCGGCAAATCATGATTCCAGTAGGTCAGCTTCGGAAAGCTCCCTTCAACCTCCAATGAACCCTCCTCTAGATCTCCGCCATGTGAGCGAAGGACATAACCTGTGGGGAGACAACGATATCATCATCAGTATCAATCGATCCCACAGAGCTTGCACCCTCACCGGAGTATCCTGACGGCAGCTCCATACACGCCCCGCGCAGGGTTCTCCCGCGGAAGGAGGCAATGAGCTCCTCTTTATTCGCCCCTTCTTTCACGGGTTCATTGACATCGTACTTGAAGAAGGAAGAGACTTTCGCTGCTCCGGTGTAGCTCGTCTTGCAAGGAATCGCGTGTACCTCCACTTCCCCCACTTCTCTTCCTTGTACTCCAGCCATGGCCCGTCGGTTCCCGCTCGGGGCTCCCTCGTCCCCTCACTGACCCAATCCGACTACAGATGTGCAGACAGATGTGCCAGTGCTGACAGTAGATGTGCAGACCGACCGGGCCGTACTACGGTACCGATCATCGGATGCCAGTGTGACCTAACGCCCGGCCCGGCCGTTCGGAACTGAGCCCTCCGAGTCACGGTGTCTCTGTGAAGGGCCGGGCCCTGTGACAGTAGCGCCCTCTGTGAAGCCCTGTGCCACGGTGATCGGACAGTCACCGGCGGCAGTGTGAAGCCCTAGGTTACGTGACGGACAGTCACAGACTCCCGGCCCGGCGAGCCGTACCGTATAGTACTAGCTCACTTATCAGTATAGTACTGTCCGGGTGACTGCGGGGCCGGCCGCGATCCGATTGGCAAAGCCTGCCACACCGTTCCGAAGTCAAGTTCACACGGTTCAAGTTGAGAGTGAATTTCATGTTCACACAAATTGATTGAAACTGCTTAAGTAACCATGTGACGAAAATAAACGCTTCCGAGTCACCTCAAAGCATTGTTCACATGATGCACAACCTCGTTGAAAAAATCACACATTCCATGGCATTTTCTAATGCTCGCTTTTGATCATTTTCGAGCGGGGTACCTCAGCCCAGGATTTTTGAATGGTCGGCGCACTGAAAATTTGTACCAGAAACTTCGATAATGGTTGAAAGTATGTTTGAATCGGGGACCGTGTCGAGCAGTTTTAGGTTTACAAGTATTCTTGCTTCCTCCAAACAACAAGGTTTCAAACATTAAAACTATTTTTGACCTTACACGCTTTTACACGCCTGGGGGGTGCATATACAACCAAATCGCCTGCCCTACCCTTCCCCCATTGCTGCATCCGCACCCGCCGGCGCAGGCGGCGTTTGTTTGCATCCCAGATGGCTCTCAGCCAATGGCTCTTTCATCGTATTCAAGCTCCAGGCCATCCAAGGTTGGATCATGTGTGAATGTTTGTACTTTTTGCGGCATACTGCAAGACGACGTTTCAAACAGCTCGAGCTTGTTTTTCAAAGGAAGCTGTAGGAATCAGCATCACCATGGATTCTAGAGCCTAGGGCTGTTTTCGAATCCTTTTGATGCTCATTGCAAGATGGAGAATTTGCTCGTTTTTGGTGATCAAGCATCCACAACCCTCTTTCGTATGATTGAGCTTCGAGCACATCTCTGACTGTAGAGTTGTTTGGTGTCAAGATTGTTTCTCGTAAAGGATATCTCTGATTAGGCAATTGATTGTTGTTTTGGTTGGCATTCTACAAGACCCATACTTCCTCCTCTCTGTGTCAACCAAGCACATAAGCATAAGGCATGTCAGTCGTGTAGGCAACTTGATTGCAAATAGATCGCAAGTGTAAGATCGATGAACTATTCAACGCCATGAATGCCGGATGTGAATGAACTTCCCTCAGGACTTCTCAGTATCAGAACCAGCGAGCTAAGACATAAGGTAGAGTCTCCATTGAATATCATTCCTGCGAATGTAATGTTTTTATCAGTTGTAGGGAACAGAAGCATGGAGACAAGCGGGTGCCCAAGCGAATAGGAACATCTTGCGGATGTAGGTTTGGACAAAGACGGCGATGATTCCGAGGTTGTGAAACAGGCAGCGAAAAGATGCTGAGGTTTTCGGAGTTCATAAACATGGCTTGTGACGAGCATGTCACACGTAAAGCGATGGAAAACAACAAACAAAAATTGTAAAGCAATCGAAAGCAACGAAAATCAATGGAAAACAACAAACAAAAATTTTTCTCAAAGGTCTCACTCCTTGACTTCAACCACTGATTGAACATCTTTTTGACCTCGGTCATATCTCGACAAATCCGATTGTACTCCGCCGCTGAACAGAAAGTTGTTTGCGCCATCTTTTCAACGAGTGGTGCCGGGTTTGCAATCGAGAAGTGAGAGATTTTACAGTATTTATTATTTTCGATGTCGTCTTCATGAAAAAATATATACCCATGCACTCCGAAATTATCGTGGAGATCATCGTTGGCATGCTCCAACATGCAAGGAAAGCTGAAGAAACACATTTTTGGTATAGCATTTATTTCATCCGTATCCTTGTAAATTGCTTGATAACAATCACGGTTTCCAACTTTGTTCAAAATTCTTTTCAGGGCCACACAGGGCACTCGATTAGTTATAATGGTTTCGTCTACATGTTCCAAGAGGACTCCATTGTACATGATGTACACTTCGACAACCTGTGCATCTGAGTGCAGCGATTTGATCATGCCCAGTCGATTCACTTCAACGCCCCTGTGATCTTCACACTGATATTGAACCCCTGTGCCAGGCTCAAGCATAATATTCAAATTACTGCCTGGCTTTTTCCAGTACATCCTGGGCAAGTCTCGATCATCAACTGACGTATGCAGGATCATTCGAAGCTTCAAATCTTCAGGTGTCTTTGACTCATCACAAGTCTCTTCCTGCTCCAAGAATGTATCGAAATCTTCCTGCCTTCGCCTTCTCTGAATTCCATTTGTTGCTGATACACGACGGTGAAGATTCATTTGTTTGGTGTCTATAACTGGAGCGCAAGGGAAAGGGAAGCAACGGGGAGGGAGGTGAGCAGGGGGGAGGGAGGGAGCAGGGAGGAAGGGAGGGGAGCAGAGTGGAGGGAGGGAGGGAGAAGAGCAGGAAGGAGAAGGGGAGGGATACTTGCAATGGGGATCTCAGGATTTTTAATGAATTTTTATTTGCTCTTTGATCGGGGGCAAGGGGACCTGTGTTTCGGTGGCACCCTATAGACATGGGGTAGGTATCTATATAAAACAACCGGTGTAGAAAAAAAATATTGCCGTTGCTAGCTGGCATACGACTCCTTGATTTGAAAACAAAAATACTTATTGGCTGGATTTACTACACTCGTCAATGGCTGACACTAATAAGATTTCATGAGCGTGTATCGAAATATACGAATAACCCTACCCCCTCCATATCAGACAAACATACCGGTACACAGGGAAGAGAGCAGCCAAGAGGCGTGTAAGCCGGAACTCAAATGCTTAAAACAAATATAAAAGAGTACTGGGTGGTACAAATCATTCTGGTACAAAATTGACTAAAAACTGTATGCTTATGATTAAATTAACAGGTACAAGTGTTTGTTAAAAGGATATTAATTTATAATTGGGCATTAGTAAATGCCATGGAATGGAAGGAGCAATCCCCATCCTCGTTAAGACCGGCACGATTGCACATGCGGCAACGAGCAACTCTTCCTTCTTGTCCCCATCCTCCCAGCACATGCTCTTGCTTAGCACCAACCGTTGTGCTCCGTCCTTCGTCAGGCGCTGATTCAACATGAGGGAGCCTCAGCCTTGGAAGCATGATATTTTCATCTTTGCTGCACGCTTCAGGGTATGTCTGAGTAACAAGATCAGACTTGTAACACAACGATCAAGGTAGCGATACCTGCTGCAACTTTAACATTTCTTCAGAAGCCATCTGGCTGATTGACGTGGTGCTCGAGAACGACGACGACGATGAAAACGACAAGTTCGGCGAAGAGTTCCAGGCTCCAGCGGGCTGGAAGGAGTGGAGGCTGTTCTTGCTCGACAGTGATCTGCTGTCCAGCTCCATGCTCGTTTCATTAGGTCGATTCGTCTTCGCAGCAAAGCTTGACTCAGGCCTTGTTTCGCTCTCCGACTTCATCTCGTTCTGATACAAAGTCGATTCGTTCTCTTTGACTTCGGCACCCCTGAAAACTTGTACTTCCGCTGCTGTCCAGAGCGTCTGTGTAGCCCTCGACCATGTCCTCCCATTCCAAATGTCTCGGATAGTCTTGGGGCTCACACCATACTTGAGCGCCACCTCATGGCACCTTGCGAACCTGTCCAGGCAGGTGACGTCCCTTTCCAGAAAAATTTCAATGGCCGTCTCCTGGGACAAAACGGACTTTGATTTATTGCTGCCCTGTTGTTTGTTTGACTGCATATTTATCATCGAACAACGGCAAGAGAATTACAGCGCTTAAAGACTTCGAACATATCCCGCGACCACAGACCGAGCCAATCATTGTGTCACCATGGCACAATGAGGCTTGCAGTCTGCGCCCAACCCCAACCCGACAATCGATACAAGAGCAATGAGAGCTTGAAAGAAAATACTGTGCTGATACTGAGAAATTCCTTGCAGCACGATGTCGTTCTAGCGAGATTTATCAGATTGTATCTGTGAACTGCTTTGGAAAGCAATGACGAGGAGGGAGAAGAATCAAGAATCGTATCCTAATATATCAAGCGGTATCCCACTATATCAATCGGTAAGTGAGATACTCAGCCTCGATAATTCGATATTGCAAATGGCTGCGTTGGGATGATTTGATCAACTGGAAGGGGTTGATCAAGAAAAACCTTTTGTTTTTGGAACAATCAGATCACACTGCTGGTCTGTAGGGGAAAAGAAGGAACAAGCAAGACGATGGGAAGTAGATAGCTGGTGTCAATGATAATGATATGTCGATCTGAAGCTAGATTACTACCAAAGAGAGTGGATGAAGGCGAAGGTTGGAACGGAGATGGCGTTGATTACAAAGAAACAATTCGGGGATTGATGCGATAGAAGGCAAATGGACAGGGATGGAGCGATTCAGGCACAGGGAAAAGCAATCAAAGGGAGGAGAATAGGTAGGAGGAAGACGAGGAGGAGGGGGGGGAGGAAGGGGGCGCGGGCAGTATGCTTACGAATGCGGAAGAGGATGGTGGAGGAAGGGAACGACAGCAGACGGCGTGATGGGGGGTCAATTATATGGGTGGGGGTCTGTTTGAGTGGGTGGAGGCTTCCTGGTAGGGGTACATTTGATTCTTTTTGAATGCTATTTTATGGGGTTCCTGTCAATTTAAAGGGGGGTTGTTTCCCAGGTATTCCGTTTTGGTATGGTAGGGTAGTTCAAGGATGGGTGTAAATCAAAGGGGGGTGGGCGCTTATATTAGGGTGGGGGTTGTACATGGTGGGGTAATAAGTACCAAGATGTATTCTCATTGAACATGGTAGGGTACATTGTGTATTGTGGGGTAGGGTACCCAAGAAACAAATCAAGGTCGAAACAAGTCGTTTTCACGATCCCCTTTTGGTGCTGGTACAGATCATTTGTATGTTTACAACAGATTTAGAGGAAAACAATATAAATCTGTACCCTCTAAAATTGTGTAATATATGAATACCAAGACCCGTTGAGATTTCACCAGATTTATCTGAATCGATGCCAGAACAGAACGTTAAGCTTGAACTGATCCCCGAAAAAGTAGTATTTCAGCTTATCTATGAGGAGACGCAGAGTTAAAGAAAAGGGTTGATATCGTGTATTTTCGCGTTCTAGGGGTTCTCCGTCGGACTACCCACCCCGCGCTCCTAAAACAGGCAAAAACTCCTACTGTCATTACCCTGTTGTGGTACTACTTACTACCCCCTCCTTTCCCATTTTTGATTTTTTAATTTCTATCCCCCGTTTAACAAGCCACCACCCCCTTGTACTACGACGTACAGAGTGCCTTCTTGCCCACCCCACCGACTCACAGTGTGATGACTATATCTCCTCTACCCTACTGTACCCTGCCCTTATTGCCCACCCCTTCAACGTACATGACCCGGTGATGAACCCCCTTGTCGTTGATCAAACTACCCCCTATCTGATGGATCACTTGCTTGCAACGCCCAGCCACCCCCCACGCCAAGTTTTAAAAGTTTTATTCTCATGGGTATGAAGGTTTTTTAAGAGTTTTATAGACCCCGGGGGTCCACTTCGACTTTCAGGCTCATTTCCATGTACCCGGTCCTAGCCAGAGATCGGGCGACCACTGTGATATGACCACGGGTCCCTGACAGGACCCCCGTGATTATACGGTGCCTACCCCAATGAACAAAGTAGCAATTCCGGTCCTGTACGCCGGCCCTCAGGACAACTACGAATGACCCACCCGTATGACTCTGATGATACGTCTTGAGGACCCTACGGTCGACCTCATGTCTTATCTTGAAGGCGGACCTCCCCGGCCGGGCTGCTTCCGCCGGAGCTTGCCGCCTCGTGGAGCCACTGCCGCGTGAGTGCAGTGACTTCAGTAGCCTGCTCGGCCCGTGTAGTACGGCCCCGGGTAGAACAACTCCCGGGCCCGGCGACATAATTACAAGTTGAGTAAAGGGGGGTGACTGATTATTGAAACTTGTGACGCATCATAGTACGGTCCAGGATCTTCCGAACTTCCGAAGTGAAAGTTCCGTCAGCTCGTTTGAAGGACTCCCCGGCCGCTCTGGCACTGGGCCGGCGCGCGGCCAGTGATCATCATGCAGTGCCGAGAGTACATGATGGCCGGGCCTGTGTGCGGCTGATTTCAGTAACTGGGCGCCCTGGGCGCGAGTTTGCCGATGAGTCATGCCATGAACTCAGTACTGATTTTTCACTTCACTTTGTCGGAGTAAAGAGAACTCAGTCAGAGGCTTGCGTTCAATCGGCGGGACTCAGTTTCCTAGCACAGCCCCACGGGAGGCTCGGAGCCTCGGAGGCTCAGAACGGTTAGGCCGCTGTTTTAGACCCGGCACTACTGAGCCTGATCCAGGAGTCCAACTTTGTGTGAAAGCGCCCCCGCCTCATGATCAGAGTTTCCTCAACTTTACTGGTTAAAAATCCGCCTCAGTCTCAACCGTTGAACCGTCACACACTGGCCGGGCCTTCGGCAGCGATGATCATCCACAAGTGAAAAGTTACACTAGTAGGGGTGGGGTGGTCACTACTCAGGGCAGTGGTACTCGTGGCCCGGTAGTAGGGGGTAGTGCCGCTCAGCTCCGCGGCTCTTAAGGGCCAGACTCACGCCGGTAGGATCGGACAGCTCCTTGTATCCGAAAATGCTCAGGAGAGTTTTCAGTCTGAGCATGCAACGAAGTAAAGGACGACTAGGAGGAGATGCAAAGCTGCTCTACAGTGTTGGTCGGGAGAGGCTACAGCAGATCACGCTATCAAGACCCCTCAGCATGTCCCCAACAGGGTCAGCAAGCTGGTGGCCGTGGAAGTCAAGCAAACTTGATCTCATGGAGCGACACCTGGATGACATGAAGAAACACATGGAAGAAGTCAAGGCCAACAAGGATAAACTCATTGCCGACAAGGATAAACTCATTGCCGACAAGGATAAACTCATTGCCGACAAGGATAAACTCATTGCCGACAAGGATGCGCAGCTAGAAGAACTGAGGGCTGACAAGGATGCGCAGCTAAAAGAACTCAAGGCCGACAAGGATGCGCAGATAGAAGATCTGAGGGCTGACAAGGAGAGACTCTACGACGAATTGCAGCTACAGAAGATGGAAACTCTCCGAGAACTATCGCGGGTTAAGGTCGTAGCCAACAACCGAGCTCTGATTCAGATCGCCGTGGCACGGTACAGCAGCAAGAGTTCTTTCACGCAAGGTTTGGAGAAGTTTGTGAATGAGCATTTGTTGACGGACACGAAGATATTGAGTGAGTATGGCAGAGAAGTCTGTAAGAAGCTGCGAGACTTTGGCTTCCCAGGGAAGGAAGAATCTGTTGCGAAAGAACTGGCAGACCTCATGTCCGCCCGTATCAAGTAAGATTTACAAAGGGTATGTGGTTGGAGGGGATCCGCCGCTTGCAGAAGCGCTTGCGATCGTGATTTTAAAGCTACAAGAATGCAAGCTCGTGGAAGACCTGGATGTAATGCTGGTCGACGGGGAAGGGGAATGGAAGTGCGTGCTAATGGACGGAGTGATAATCAAATACAGTTAAGAGTAGTCTAGGATCTACATGTCGTTATCAACGTGATGTATTGCTTGTTGCGAGTGAATGAGCCGGTTCCTCCCCCTCGGAAAGCCTATGCCTGCTGCTGATGCTGGTGCTGGGTAGGTTGCAGGAGATTGTAGACGGACGGCGGTACGGACATGGAGGGCGTCGGGATGGCACGGTCAGAGACAGACAGGCCTGCATGGGTCTGCTGGCATCGATTGACTGCCTGTAGCAGCCGCATGAGCGTCCTCCTCCTCTACGCGCGCGAGTGGATTAGGGCGGTAGGACGGGGGAGGAGGAGGAGCCTCTCAGGAGCGGGGGCAAGAAGCGTCAGGCTGCTCGAAGGTTCCTTCCCTTGCGTGCAGGAGCTCCACCGGTGGAGGGTCTTGATCGTGAGAGTGACTCCTCGGCTACTTCCCACTGAGCATCAACACACACCTTGCTTGTGCTCCCTCCTGCCTCCTTCCGTCCAGTTCTCGTCTCCTTACCAGCCTCCTGCTGCGCCTTGGTCGAGCCTTTGCTCAGACCCTTGGGACGAGAGGGAGCCTTTCAGAAAGGCAGACACCAGCTTGGGATCTGATCTCGGCAGTAGCTTGGACATCTCGGACCCTGGCGGTAGAGTAGCCGGCAGAGGCTTGAGGCCTTTCCTCTCCCTCTCCTACTCCGTCTCCCTCGCCCAGTCGCTCTCAGACTGCCGGGGGCTGTCGTCGTTGGGCTGGAGATGCTTTGCCGAGTGCGCCCTTGAGCTTGCGAGGCAGCCCGTCCGTGTAGGCCCTTGCCCATGACGAGCTTCTCGCGACGACGTCTACAAGCCTTGTAGGCGGCAAGCAAGCGCCACTGCAAGCAGACTGACGGCTGACGGCTGACGGCAGGCCCGGTCAAGCAGAGCCAGACCGTCTCCCACCATCCCTGCTACTCGTGCGCTAGAGGCTGGATGAGCCTGAGCATGGTGCAGATGTCTGTCTTTCGCGTGCTCTTCATGTACAAGCCTGGGTCTAGAGTCCTACCGACTCTCTCTACCGGACGGTCGGGACTGACGAGCCGGGGCCGGGCGTCCGATCGACCTACACTCGAAGCATTGCGATCGCTGCTGGGTGTGCTGGCAGAGCACTATCTCTCCTGCACTCCCGGCGAAGAGAGCGGCAAGGTCGGTGCCGGCAGAGAGCATCTGGGCGACGTCTGGCGGGGGCTGGGAACCGAGGCAGGCGGAGATATCGTGCAGTCCTTGCACTGAGATCGCCTCCTCCCATGGGTACAGATGCAGGCTCCCCCGCACTCCTTGTACTGAGATCGCTCCCGCCCATGGATGCAGATGCTGGCTCCCCCGCACTCCTTGCACTGAGATCGCTCCCGCCCGTGCTCGCATGCCTTCCTGTCTGCTTTCTTCCCCCTCCCGGCTGGGCGTCGCCTGCTGCCAGCTTCGTCTCGTGGGCTCCTCCTGGCCCCGCGGAGCTCTCTGTCCTCGCTCGCTTGCTG